TATAATTTTTATTAATTAAATTTTATAATTTTATTAACTAAATTTTATTATTTTATTAACTAAATTTTATAATACAAATACTTTAATTTAATAATTTACATTCTAAATAAAGAAAATATTCTAATTATTAAATCTATTAATAATATCAAAAAAAAAAAAGTAATATAATAATATCAAAATGAAAGGTTCAAAAAAAAAATCAAAATGACTACTTAGCAAATAATTCAAATAGTAATAATTCCAATTGTAACAACTTCAATGGCAGTAACTTATATAAGAAATTAAGAAATAAAAGTAAAATTCAATAATATATTAAAAACAAATAAAAAAAATAAAAAAAGAAAAAAATAAAATCTTGATACCTCTAAAAATAATGAAAAACATAATGAAAGTAATAATAATTTTAAAAAAACAATTTCCAAGTGGATGACTCTAAGGATAATTTCAAAAATAATAACAATAACTAAAAAAAGTTATATAAAATTAATGAGTTGTAGAAAAAAAAAATTAAAAAAAATAGAATTAATATATATATACTCTAGGAGTACATTAAAATTTTTTATACCCAGATTTCTGTGTAACATAACAATCACAGGATATATAAATCAATTTTTTTTTGTTAGCTAACCTTTCTGTTTTACTTTAGGTGTTTATGAATATTTGTAGTAAACTCGTTGCTTTAGGTGTCATCACCGTTTAGGTGCACTTATTAATGTGGATTTCATCGTTTGGGTAGCTCCATATTGTTGCGTAGGTGCTGTCATCATTTGGAAGGTCCCACATTACTGGTGTTACTGTGGATGTGGATTTCGTCATCTGTAGTAGTGCTATATCATTACTTTACTGAAGGTTTTGTCTAAGTAATTTTGTTGTTCTAAATTTCATCGTTTCCACATAGATTTTCTGTTTGTAGTTGTTTTGTGTTGAGTCTTAGTGCAAATTTTTTGTCTTACGTGTCGTTTTTTGTTTGTGTTTTTATTAAAATCTGCAAGAACTTTTTACTAACTTTTTCGAATTCTTTGAAGTAGGTGAAGAAAAATCATTAGTTAATGCACTCTGCAAGAACACCATGCTGAATTTTTCATACTTTACTAGTAACAAGCTTGGATCAAAAAATGGAAAATATTATATATACTTTCAGAAATATTATGCATGCTATTTTTATATCAGAAAAAGTAAAAAGTGCTAGCAAGTGCACTTTGCAAAACAAGAACAATTTAGCAAATAAGTTTACAAGAACACTATGCTGGCTTTTTTGGATTTGAGGTGAGATAATTTAGCTGCAAATCATCACTCTACTATATAGCCAAATTTTGATTTACTATTTTTTAACTAAATTTAGGGTTAGGGCAGTCTAGTTAAGCTAGGTTAGGGTTAAAGATGCTTTATATTTACCAAATTGCCTTTCGACACTTTTTATTATACACCAAGGTGGGTTTAGACTGATTTTTATTGTTTTTGTTTTCTTCGCTTTTAAAATTTATATAATTTGATTGATTAATCATCAAATTTTAGTATGTAGATGCATCCCGCTATATACTTGAAGCAAACTAAAATCTATATTAATAAAATTGAGTTGTTTAAAAATCTAGTTTGCCTATTATACATAAATATAAAATGTAGACACATTCAAAGCTGGCTGCATATAAACCCAGTCTATTATAGACTCAAATTCGTATCTTTTAAACTGTAAGTTGATGCAGACAAATTTGCCTGCAAACATTTATCTAATAATCGCTCATATTTACTGCCATTAAAATGATGTGTTTAAATAATCTAATCAGATCATGGATGTGCCATTTGGATATCGAAATTTTAAATCAGAAAGTGTTTTTAAATCTTACTATTAGTTTAATCTAACAGATATAAATAACACATCAGATAAAGCATTAATTTATACATACACGACTTTTACTGAGGTTATTTCATCAAATCGAAGACAAGGTGCTATTAAAAATGGCTAAAAGTAGTATCAGCTAAAACTTCTATGCAATTAGTATACCAAGTATTCATATTATTGAAATTGATATAATGATTAACGTAAGTTGTACTAGTAAAAACAATTTGATCAAAAATGTGCAGGTAAATTTGCCTGCAAAACAGTTTAGGGATAATAGTTAGAAATCGAAATTAAATAAATGAGTTGTGAATTAGGTTTAGGGCCGTAATGGGTAAAATAGATTAGACTAAGGCTATGAATGAGTAAAACAGATTGGGTTAAATTAGGTATAATAAATGGATTGGGTTAGAGTTAGAGTTATAAATATGTAAAATAGGATTTGGACTTTATCTTTAGTTATTATAATAAATATTATATATTAAGTTATTAGGTACTGTATATACCAAGGTGTGTCATGTGATGTGGGTATATGTACCTTCAGGTATATGTATATAACTCCAAGAAAATAATAAAAATTATAAACATAAACAAAAAAAAACAAAGTAAATACTTATTTATTCAGATCGAAAACAAAATAAAACAAAATAAAAAACAAATCAAAACAATAAATATTTATTTACTCACAAAATGAATGTTTTTGTACGCATCAATGCATGAAAATTATGATTGTTAAGAATCTTAATGATCATCACGTTAGTACATGGAATTATAATTAATCGTTAAGAATCTTAACAATCATCACATTAGTACATGGAATTATAATTGATCGTTAAGAATCTTAACAATCATCACATTAGTACATGGAATTATAATTGATCGTTAAGAATCTTAACGATTGTGATGATCATGATGTCAGTGCATGAAAATGATCATTAATGATTGTGCATGTTATTGCTCGAAATTAAATTTTTTGGATGGTCAGCTTCTGTGTAGTTTCTGTGCAATGATTATGAAGTCCGTGCTTACCCGCATACAATTACATATTTATGCGTGCATTTCTGTGTATCAAGTTTTCATAAGACATAGTTCGGTATAAAAAGTGCCTTGTCTTTTTAATAAAATATAGTAATTTTCTAAACAAACCTTTTCTTTTTCGTTTTTTTTTTAATCTTTTATTATACTTCAGCTTAGGTTAGTATTTTTCTTCCTGTACACGAATTTTTTTAAGTTGATGCGGCAGAACTCTAATTTTTGACAACTTCAACTGTGATAAGGAATCTTGTTGAAATAGGTAAGGCACTAGCTTGCCATAGTTAAATATTTAGGTTTTTCATATCCTTTTTCGAATATTCCATGCTGTTAATAAGTTAGTTAATATCACTAATGATATGTTTAAAAACTTTTAACAGGCATTATATGCTTATTTAGATCTTTATCGCTATGTAATTATTAAATAAATTTTGAATTATTATGAATAAAATACAAACCATTGTCAATGTCTTCTTTAAACGGCTAAACATTGCTTATTTCTATATTTAGTTATTGCAATTTTCTACCTGATACTTATAAACTAACGTAAATATTTTCTGAAGTGGCATATGTAAGTTCGATATATTCAAAGTTTCAATTTGATGATTATTTGTAATTAACGAAATAATAGCTTGTTCACAATAATAAATACGTGTTTGTAACAAGTTTTGCATCTCTTTTTCTTCAGAAAGAAAAGACAACCGAAAAATATTATGCTAAGCTAACGCTAAGAAAATATTGATTATTAACTTTTTAGTAATGTTTAACATATGCAAATACGCAATTTTGGTTTCCAGTTCCAAATGTTATCATTCCGACCTATCTTTCCGGACGATCATCCGATCCCAACCCAACACATTTTCTGGGTGCCTAAAAATGGGATAATTAACAGAAAAACAAGGAAATTATTTTTAGTAAAATTTTTTTTTAAAATATCTTAACAATTATTAAATCAAACTTGCTAAAAAAAATTTTTTATTTTAATCCTATAATTATATAGAATTAATCTAAAAAAATTTATTAATATTTTAATAATTGTTGAAATATTTTAATTCAAGTTTAAAAAAATAAGCTTCTTTAAAAACCATTTACATGGTTTCTATTGACCACCCCCAAATAACAATCAAAATTATAAACATTTAAAAGAGCATATTTTTATATTTTGAAAAAGTTTTCAAATCAAAACGTCAAACCAAGAAAATTCTTTTAAGACAAATTTTTAACGAATTAGTTAATAAGTTTTTGAAAAAAAAGTTGCTTTCTAGATGTAAAACATTTAATTTCATACTCGATCCCGATCACGAACTTATTATTGCAATACTAATGAGCCTACTAATACAAATTTAAAAACTCCAAAAGATCGATATTTGGATTAAAATTCTTTCAACTACGGGAGTTAGAATTGATATTAATGACTACTTCCTGTACTTATGTGTTGTAATTCCGAAAATAGATTATAACATCATCAACTGATCTGCTTTACCTCGCAAAGTAATCAAGAAATTGTCAAATGGAACATATCATTTATGTGCAAATGAATACTTTCTAATGCCTATTGGAATACTATAAAATGGGTAAAATTATACCACTGAAACCAATGGAATATGAAATCTTGGAGTTAATTAAGATAGATTATTAGCTTAAGATGAATGAAATAATAATTCTTATAGATGTAGACGGTGAAGGCGGTTGTCATCCTATAATATTAAGTGTAAAAATAGAGAACATAAAATAGAGAAAAACGTTATAACGATAATAAAACTACTTAAGTTATCTTGAGATTTGAAATTCACTTGGTAAATTGATTCTGAACCCACTTAAGTGGATTCGGAATCCACAGGATTCTGAATCCACCTACAAAATATATAAGTTGAATTCAGTAAACGAAAGGACACTTCACGTTCACTAATAAATATGACTATAAATAATATTCCATTTATACTTATCTGAATTTTTACCTTGTAACCTATTTCTTGAATTCCACTTGTAATTTAATAACCCTTTCAAGATTCAATTTGACGGAATAAATTGACCTGTAACTTCGCTAGGTTTAAGACTGGATTCTGGTACATCCTGTAACTTCGCTAGGTTTAAGACTCGGATTCTAATACGTCCTGTAACTTCGCTAGGCTTAAGACTCGGATTCTAGTACATCCTGTAACTTCGCTAGGTTTAAGACTCGGATTCTAATACGTCCTGTAACTTCGCTAGGTTTAAGACTGGATTCTAGTACATCCTGTAACTTCGCTAGGTTTAATACTCGGATTCTAATACGTCCTGTAACTTCGCTAGGCTTAAGACTCGGATTCTAGTACATCCTGTAACTTCGCTAGGTTTAAGACTCGGATTCTA